TTTCATGTTAAACTTGTTAAATCATTTAAATCTGAATCATTATTTTCATTTGGAATTAAATGTTTACATCGAGTTTTAAAAGAAGAATTCATTTTGATCAGAGTTAAATCTCTCATGTAAACGTGACAGTTCAGGAGTTGAACCAGACCTACAGTGACCTCTGACCTCTGACCTCTGACCCTGTGGATCTTTTTGTTCTAACTGTGACATTTTAAATCTGAATCTTGATCTGAAACCACTTCATAAACAAACAGACAAGTGTTGAAGTTTGTCTGAGTCCCTGAGCCGCTGACACGTCCACACTGGTTCATTATAACTGATTATTTGTTGTGTGGTGAAGATGAGGATGAGGATGAAGATGAGGATGAGGAGTTACCCAGAGCTTCCAGAGCAGGTCTGATCTGCAGCACAAAGTGATCCTCCTGAACCTCCTGCAGACACAGAACCTACAACAACAAACACACAAACAACAACAACAACAACGACAACGTTACACTGGCAGAAACTGGGACAAATCCGTGGATTCCAAAAATGACAGTTTATACAGAAATGTCCCAGTGTCTCTGTTGGACAAATCTGATCCTGCGACAGTAAAGAGACAAAAACTGACATTTGTTTTGGTAAAATACAGAAAATCTTCTTAAAAAACGTCCAAAACACAAAGAAAACCCGTCTGTACTGACTCGTGTGTTGGTATAAATGGATCAAGAGCAGAATTATTTTCCTTCGTTACGACTCGTTTCACTGTTTTATTTCCACAAACCGAGTCCCAGAGTTTTATTTTGAAAATCTGCTCACTCTGTTCATACTGTGACCTGTGAGATTCTGTGTGCGACTCATTTCCCTTGTGGCTCAATAAAGTCGAAGACTAAATCCTAGTCCTGGTCCTGGTCCTGGTCCTAGTCCTGGTCCTAATCCAGACATGGATCTGTTTAACAAATACAGAGAGAACCTTCTGGATTTACAGGCAAAGTCCAAGTCCAAGTCCAGGTCTCAGTTTGGGTCTCATTGTTTGTCTGAGTCCTGGTCCCGGTCTCAGTCTCGGTTTGGGTCTCAGTGTTTGTGTTTGCTGTTGTTGTGTTTGTTCTCGTGGTCGTGTTTGTTTCGTGGTCGTGTTTGTTCTCGTGGTCGTGTTTGTTCTCGTGTTTGTTCTCGTGGTCGTGTTTGTTCTCGTGGTTGTGTTTGTTCTCGTGGTTGTATTTGTTCTCACGTCTGCGTGGTGTTTCTGGATCTCCTGCAGCAGGTTGGGGAGTCTGTAGTTCCAGCTCAGCACCTCTGGGTGGCAGTGGCGGTACAGGTAGGCGTTGTCCACCAGAAGGTCCTGGGACAGGATGTTGTACGACATCACGGTGAACTCAAAGCCCACGCTGACCCCTGGAGGAGGAGGAGGCTCACTGCAGCTCAGAGGAACCGGCTCCCAACGTCTGAGCAGATCTGAGGAGGACACAGGGTTTAAACAAAGATCTGAGGAGGACACAGGGTTTAAACAAAGATCTGAGGAGGACACAGGGTTTAAACAAAGATCTGAGGAGGACACAGGGTTTAGAGTCTGAGCAGAGCTGAGGAGGACACAGGGTTTAAACAAAGATCTGAGGAGGACACAGGGTTTAAACAAAGATCTGAGGAGGACACAGGGTTTAGAGTCTGAGCAGAGCTGAGGAGACCAAAATACAAGTTACAAATATTAAATTTGCATTTGTCAAGACAAAAGTGAAGATTAATGAGGCAGAAGTGAGCCCAGAATTAGAATATTTTCATAGACTTACGTTTGACGTGGACGTTCCTCTGAGTTTGTTGGTCGTTGGTCGGTGTGGAGCTCAGATTAGATGCCCTGACCTCCTCCTGCTCCATCTTCTCCTGTTTCGCGGCTCCAGAGGAAAACCCCAAACTCTGACTGTGTTTAGGAAACGTCCTCTGAGGATCAGTCGGGTTCTGAGTTCTGTCCATGTCTTTTTCTCTGCTAAAATATCTCGCGCTTTGACTCTTGTCCCTCGACTCTGCGTCCGCTCCGTCCTGTTTGTGACTCGTCTTTTCTTTGGCGTTTTCTGATCGTTCCTCTGAGCTCTTCCTGCGTTTGAACGGCGGTTCTCGCTCTCTCTCCGGTCGCTCCATCCTCAATCCATTTGTGGAACAGATCGGTCGAACGTTAGGCCCAAACGCCGCTCCGCCGTAGAAGAACCGCGCCGGACTCACGGGGGACGGGAGGAGCGCGGCGGTGCACCATGGGTAAAATGGCGGCGCCAGCAGCAGCGGCGGCGTCGGGAGCAGCGGCGGCGTCGGCGGCGACGGGGAGACGAGACGGTGGACGAGGCGAGGAGCCGAGGAAGGACAGATCCGAGGGAGGAGAGAGGAGCCCAGCGCGCTCACCGGCAAACGCAACATGGAGGGACTGAGAGACGAAGAGAAGGACACGGGTTAGAAACGAAGATCTGTACAGTTTACAGATCTGGGGACATGATGCTAACTGGAGGCTCTGCTCTGTCTGGAGGCTCTGCTCCACTTTAATCTGACCATAAAACTGTGACCTTCTGAAGTTAAATCAGTTTATTTCCAGCGTCCGGCTCGTCCTCGTTCAGTCTGAGGTTTGTTTGGTGTCATTATAGTTTCAATTATTAAAGCTATTTAGTACAAATGTAAATATATCAAAATAATAATAAAAAATTATACTATACGATATATTTCCACGATACGTCTCTCACGGTGCGATATTCAGTGCGATATATTCTCATAAAATTGTGAATGTGACTTTTTTACTTTTAAAATCCTTGAAAAAGCATATGGTGCCGTTACAAACCAGGACTAAACCAGGACTAAAACCAGGACTAAACCAGGACTAAAACCAGGACTAAACCAAGACTAAAACAAGATTAAACCAGAATTAAAACAGGATTAAAACAAGGCTAAACCAGGTCTAAGTCACCATCATTTTGACTAAACCAAATTTAAAACCACAAATCAGAACTAAGTCAAACCCAGGACTGAACCAGGACTAAACCAGGTCTAGACCAAGAAGAGACTAAACTAGGATCCATAATCAATCCTGTTCCTGAGTTTATCTCCAAACTCCAGAGGCTCCTGCTCCTGGGATCAAAACTTCAACACTTCCACTGATTGGATCAACTATAAAAGTCTGACAGCTTTTTTTTTTGTATGAAAATTGCTTTATAAACAAACATTGACCGATTGATAAATAGAGTAACAAGATTTTTAAAATAAAAGACTGGGACATCTCGAGTTTGTGGTCGTAGTTAATAATAAAACTGTGAATCAAGTGCAAAAATTTTAACTAAAAGACAAACAGTTGTGGACTCGGTTCTAACATGAGTCAGTAAAGTCACATTTTCCTTGTGTTTTGTCGTTTTTAAAGCAAATTTTCTGTATTTTACCAACAAGAAATGTCAGTTTATGTTTCTCTTTACTGTTGTAGGGTCAGATTGGTGAAAAACAGAGACACTGTGACATTTCTGTATAAAACTTGGACAAATCAATAGTTTTGTATAAATCTACAGGGACAGGGGACACAGACTCAAAACTGGGACTGTCCCGGGTAAACAGAGACGTCTGGTCTCTCTAAACTTCAGTAAATCCATCAAATATAAAAATGTGATCAATAAAAACAGATCAACTTCACAGATCCATAAGTTTAAACGATCAACTCCAGAAAAAACAGAAACTACAAACATCCTCAGGTCAGATTTTAACTTCAATATATGTAAGTCTTTAGGAACTTGTCATAAATCTGTTATATGTGTAAATAAACCAAATAAACCTGTCAGTTATTTTATTTTTTAAAACATAAACATTGTGAACTTGTCCGTTGGTTTTTGCTCTCGCGCTAACGCCGCTTCCGATTCGAAATGAGTCAAATTTCTCGTCATTTACGCTCAAATTCAAAGCTTTTTTTTTTGCATTAAATACTCACTCCACATGTCCGAGACCTGGAACATAATTAATATTTGTGTTTCGATGCATCTGAATTAAAATAAAACTCGCATTTTGGTTTAAATGTGTCCAAAAAGTCACACTGCAGCTCGCGTCGCACGAAAACGACGTCAAACCCTCCGTAAAAAGAGCGACGTCGACTAAAATAAAAGAAAACGTTATTACTTCTTCGAAATACCAACCAAACCTCACCAAAAACACACGTATTTATTAGAGAACTTGTATAAATTAATTCATAACGCGGATTTAAGGATATTGTACATATTGAGAAGTTTTCAAACCACTGTAATGGGCGTGTGTTGTTTTGTAGTTTTACGCCCGTTTCGTTGCGTTAAAGTAATACGCTAATGGACTACAAATCAACGGTGCGTCGCTAAAACGCATCCCCGCAATGAACCAAAACGTTATTTTTCCGTAATTACGCCAATAACACATTTATTTAACACACTGAATACGTTTTAATACATTTTTTATTTTGATTGCATGTTTTTACGCGTTAAAATAATTTAATAATGGACTACAAATCTACGGTGCGACGTCAAATGCATCCCCAAATCAAAACGTTATCATACATCATTCGAGCTCATACGTGGATAAAACCTTTTTATTTTGCAACATGTAAAGGTGCTGTTGTACTTGAACTGTTTGGTATTTGAGCTGTTTTTAGCAGTGGTCAGGAAATGCGCGGAACTCGGCCTAAAAATAGCGTAAAAAAAGGTCATTGTACTTACGCGTGAAGAAAAAGGCCAAAAGGATGAAATGAAGATCGTGTCAGCTGCTCGTGTCGCGCATTTCCAGCCGAGGTGCGGGTTTTTCGCGGGGGGTGCGGGGGCCGTGCGGGTTTATCGGTGCATGTGGAGCAGGAGTTGGGGTAAAAGTGCGAGGATCGGGGCTGAATGAGGCTCTGCTCGGGTCCGTGTCCGCGTCCCGCCCCCGCACGGGCCCCTCAGCTCAGATCAGCTCTTCTACTCTGTTCTACTCTGTTCTCTTCTGTTCTCTTCTTTTCTTCTTTTCTCTTCTGTTTTTTCTTCTGTGAGGGACAAACAGGTTTTCAGGAACAACGATACCCCAGAATTTAAACTGGAAATTACACATAAATAAAACTGAAAATAAAACATGAGACACTAAAACAAAAAATCTATATTTGCTGTAGTCCTAATGTAGGCCTGTTTTAGTCCTGGTTTAGTTTTAGTTTAGACCTGATGTAGTCCTGGTTTAGTCCTGGACATTATCAGTTTATAATGAATCGAACAGTTCATTATTTTTAAACCTTCAAACTCTGAAATTTACGATTTATTTGACTTTTACACTTTGAAAATCATGAATCAAAAAACAATTTCTGTTAAAATCATCACAGAAAATGTTCAGAATCTGAAACAGTCGATATGAGCTCAGAGGAACAACAACAAAACTAGTGTTAAATTTAACTCTGACAGAGTCAGTTTGAACATTTCCTCAGAGTTTCTCTGAGTCACTCTGTTCTAGAGTTAATTTAACATTTGTGTAAAAGTTCATGAAGTAAAACTGGACCAAAGTTCCTGTTTAACCCAAACCCAGAGTTAAATGAAGGTTTAGAGAGTAAACAGATAACACTTTGTAGAGTTATCCTGATTTAACTCAACAACACACAGAGGAGTTTTATTTTCACACTTTATTTGAGTTAATTTAAGATGAAATTCAGAACAAAACTGGTTCAAACTGGTTCTTCTCTGGAGGGAGTTTGAAGTGGAGGAGACAAATTAACACTAGAGGAAGTTGAATTAACTTCAGCTCAAACCCTCATTTAACTAAGAGTTAAATTAACACTTTTTGTGTTAAAAGCTCCACTGTGTGACATTTTACAGAATCTTTGTGTGATGAACTCTGGGCTCTCCTCTCCACAGACCTGACTCCTCACTTGGCCTTTCGACTCTCCCCTGTTGCTTTTCCTGTGTGTTTGTGGTTTTCACGTGTCGATCTCCATGGAGAAAATGTTTCACATTAGAGCTTTAAAAACCTTCGACCTGCAGCTTCACAAACTCACGGAACAAAAGTCTCGTTATAAAAGTTTTATTTTTCAAATACAAAATGATGCAGATTTTTATTTTTCACCAAATCAACTTTAAACAAACACAGCCCCAAACCTGCCCAAGACCAGGACTAAACCAGGACTAAACCAGACTAAACCAGTCTAAACCAGGTCTAAACCTGCCCAAGACCAGGACTAAACCAGGACTAAACCAGGATCTAAACCAGGTCTAAACCTGCCCAAGACCAGGACTAAACCAGGACTAAACCAGGACTAAACCAGGTCTAAACCAGGTCTAAACCTGCCCAAGACCAGGACTAAACCAGGACTAAACCAGGTCTAAACCAGGTCTAAACCTGCCCAAGACCAGGACTAAACCAGGACTAAACCAGGACTAAACCAGGTCTAAACCTGCCCAAGACCAGGACTAAACCAGGACTAAACCTGCCCAAGACCAGGACTAAACCTGCCCAAGACCAGGACTAAACCAGGACTAAACCAGGACTAAACCAGGTCTAAACCTGCCCAAGACCAGGACTAAACCTGCCCAAGACCAGGACTAAACCAGGACTAAACCTGCCCAAGGCCAGGACTAAACCAGGACTAAACCAGAACCACACAGAGTCTAAATCATTTCAAAAGTTCTTTTTTTAATTTGATTTAAATATTGGTGATGTTCTGCAGGTTTGAGGCTGTGACTCGTCCTGATTCTTTCTCTTCGTGTTTTTTAAACATTTCAGAATAAAACATTTCCAGTGTTTCATAAAAATAAAAATAAAGATGTTTGTTTATTTGTTTGTTTGTTGGTTTGTTTGTTTGTTTGTTTGTTTTTTGTTTGTTTGTTTGTTTGTTTTTTTGTTTGTTTGTTTTTTGTTTGTTTGTTTGTTTGTTTGTTTGTTTGTTTGTTTGTTTGTTTGTTTGTTGTTTGTTGTTTGTTTGTTTGTTTGTTTGTTTTTGTTTGTTTGTTTGTTTGTTTGTTTGTTGTTTGTTTGTTTGTTTGTTTGTTTGTTTTTTGTTTGTTGTTTGTTGTTGTTTGTGTTGTTTGTTTGTTGTTTGTTTGTTTGTTTGTTTGTTTTGTTTGTTTGTTTGTTTGTTGTTTGTTTGTTTGTTTGTTTGTTTGTTTGTTGGTTTGTTTGTTTGTTTGTTTGTTTGTTTGTTGTTTGTTGGTTTGGTTTGTTTTTTGTTTTTTGTTTTTGTTTGTTTTTTGTTTGTTGTTTGTTTGTTTGTTTGTTTGTTTGTTTGTTGTTTGTTTGTTTGTTTGTTTGTTTGTTTGTTTGTTTGTTTGTTTGTTTGTTTGTTTGTTTGTTTGTTTGTTGGTTTGTTTGTTTGTTTGTTTGTTTGTTTGTTCATGCACTGAGCTCCTCCTCGTGTCTCTGGGTTCAACTGGAACAAAAACATCTTCAGATCGTCTCACACTTTTACTGATTTGAGAAGGACGTGTTCCAGGAGAGATCTCTAGATTACTCAGACATGCATGGATGACTCTCTCTCTCGGTTCTGAAGACGTCGTTTTCTCGTCGTTCGTGATAAAAACACAAAAGTCTTTCACAGAATCTCAGAGTTTTAAACGTTTATTGCCCAGATCAGGTCTTTGGCTGATGAGTTTTATTTCAATATTTATCAAACCTAGAAACTACATACACTTTATTATTATTATTATTATTATTATTATTATTATTATTATTATTATTATTAATATTATTCAAATGTGCTGTTGGTTCGGATGCGGCTCATGCTCGTTTTTCCTCGTTAGAACATTTAAACGGCTCATAACATGTTCTGATGTTCTGATGTTCTGATGTTCTGATGTTCTGATGTTCTGATGTTCTGATGTTCTGATGTTCTGATGTTCTGTTGTTCTGTTGTTCTGTTGTTCTGATGTTCTGATGTTCTGATGTTCTGTTGTTCTGATGTTCTGATTGTTCTGTTGTTCTGATGTTCTGTTGTTCTGTTGTTCTGATGTTCTGTTGTTCTGATGTTCTGATGTTCTGTTCTGTTGTTCTGTTGTTCTGATGTTCTGATGTTCTGTTGTTCTGTTGTTCTGATGTTCTGATGTTCTGATGTTCTGATGTTCTGTTGTTCTGATGTTCTGATGTTCTGTTGTTCTGTTGTTCTGATGTTCTGATGTTCTGATGTTCTGTTGTTCTGTTGTTCTGTTGTTCTGTTCTGATGTTCTGATGTTCTGTTGTTCTGTTCTTGTTCTGATGTTCTGATGTTCTGATGTTCTGATGTTCTGTTGTTCTGTTGTTCTTGTTCTGATGTTCTGATGTTCTGATGTTCTGATGTTCTGATGTTCTGTTGTTCTGATGTTCTGTTCTGATGTTCTGTTGTTCTGATGTTCTGATGTTCTGTTCTTGTTCTGTTGTTCTGTTGTTCTGATGTTCTGTTGTTCTGTTCTGATGTTCTGATGTTCTGTTGTTCTGATGTTCTGATGTTCTGTTGTTCTGATGTTCTGTTGTTCTGTTGTTCTGTTCTGTTGTTCTGTTTGTTCTGTTGTTCTGTTGTTCTGATGTTCTGTTGTTCTGTTGTTCTGATGTTCTGTGTGTTCTGTTGTTCTGTTCTGTTGTTCTGTTGTTCTGATGTTCTGATGTTCTGATTGTTCTGTTGTTCTGTTGTTCTGATGTTCTGTTGTTCTGATGTTCTGATGTTCTGATGTTCTGATGTTCCTCCTCAAAAACAGAGCTGTTCCTTGTGTTTGTTTGAGTGTTTCTTTATTCTGAGTCTGTCTCCATCTCCAAAAACTCCAAACACTCTGCTCCACCTGGTGATGTCATCGTGTGGTGGTACAGGAAGTGCTCCGCTGTGTTTTTAAACTCCACACTTCACCTTCACCTGAATCACCTGGATCGTTTCAGTCGTGGAGTTTTTTTATCGATCTCGACTGAACTAAAGGGAAAAGGAGCTGAGAACGTTAAAAGAAACACCACTTCATGACATCACGAGTTGTGTTTTCAGGTCGACAGAACCGAGCCGGTGTTGGATTTTGCAACTAATCTCGAAACACCTGACATGTTCACGCTGAAGATCACAGGGTTCAGGAACTGGAAAGTTGTTTCCTGATTTGTCTGAGTCCAAACTGTCGCTGTGTCGATGTTGTGATTCATGAAGTTATTTTCCTCTTTCGTTCGTACCTTTGTTTTTATTTGATGGTAAATCCACTCGATCACATCAGGTTCACTTAAACACTTTGAACACAGGCGGTTCTACAGCAGGAACTTTGGTTCTGGTGAAGGAACCAGAACCAGCGCCGTTCTGACCGACCTGAAAACAGCTCAGGTGGAGCAGAGGGTTTGGAGTTTTGACAGGAACAAGAGAACATCAGAGCATCAGAACATCAGAACATCAGAACATCAGAACATCAGAACATCAGAACAACAGAACAATCAGAACATCAGAACATTAGAACATGGATTAAAGTTTGTACAGAGGATTTTCCAAGGAAAGAGAAACACAGCGACCCCCCCCCCCAGACACACACACACACACACACACACACACACACACACACACACACACACAGACACACACACACACACAGACACACACACACACACACACACACACACACACACACACACACACACACACACACACACACACACACACACACACACAGACACACACACACACACACACACGTCCTCCTGACTCTGTCTCTGGAGTCATTTGTTTTCAGTCGCTGTTCGTTCTGAATCACTTTTTGAGTTTCTGTCCAGAAATTATTTAGCGACACACAGAGAACAACTCACCGACACACAGAGAAACACACAGAACAACTCACCGACACACAGAGAAACACACACAGAACAACTCACCGACACACAGAGAAACACACAGAACAACTCTCCACTGGACAAATCTCTTTTAAACACTGAATTTTCCCTTGAGGATCAGTAAATCTGATCAATCGACCTCTCGATCGATCTGTGTTCAGCACCACGGACAGCAGCCTGAAGAAAAAATATTACGTGTCGGAAACCTAAAAAATGTCTGAGAAGCAGAACGTCTAAACAGACCAGACATGTCCAAACTATGGCCCGCGGGCCAACTGCGGTCCTCAGACAAATTTTTCTTGGCCCTCAGGCGTCTAGGAGAAATGACCTTGTATCAATTAAAAATGAACTTTTTACTGCAACGTTTCTGAAAATCTACCTTGATAAAGCCAATATTTAATATTTATTGTGTGGTTTAAAGGATCTTAGAAAGAACCGTCAGTATTTATTGGTTCTAACGTGTTAAACCTGCACAGATTTGAATGATTCAGTTTGTCCCTCGATCGTCCTTCTGCTTCGTTTGTGTTTAGAAATATGACCCTGGATGAAAAAAGTCTGGACACTCCTGAACCAGACGCATGTCGTAATGAAGAGATGAGGGAATAAACGGCGGTCGACCTAAGACTCGCTGCTCGAGTAAACGGCGTCTCGTGTGTGTGGAGTCTGAGAGAATCAAACATAAACCACATAAACCCAGAGCGACGGAGACGCTGTTACTGCAGAAACGTAAAGAGTTTGACTGACGACCAAACAAAGTTTATCTGACCCCAACACGTCCAAACTCCAAGGATTTTCATTCTCTTTTTGCTCATTATCATCCCAAAGCTGCTGCGTCTGTAACATTTTAAACTTTCACTGACAATTTCAAACTAAAAAAATCCTCGGTACAAACTTTAACTCTCACCGGTGTTTAGTGACTCAGGAGCTTCATGTGACTTTCCAGAACTTCTGCTTTTGTAAATAAACTCCAGAAATGAAACATGACTTGTGCTTCATTTTTCAGGTGCAGTTACGTCGTAGGAAACGTTTTAAGATGCACTTCAGAATCAGCTCCTGGTGAACGAGGACGAGAAAAACATCGACGGAGCCCAGAAACACTTTTCACTTCGCGGTTTAGTCCATAAAGTTCGTTGACGTCGTGCGGTTTGTGTTGGACTCGTCCCCCGGCGTCCGTCAGGAGCTCGAGCGTCGTCTCCTCACCTGCAGCTCGCCCTCGTCCGGACCTGAGCTGGAGGATCTGGGTTCAAACACACACAGGGAGAACATGCAAACTCCACACAGAAACACCGGCCACACGCCACACGCCTCCAGCTGGACACCGTCTTAAAACAAACATCAGGTTTTTCATCTCCTTTTCAGATTTATTCTCTCCTCACTGGTTCTAAATCAGTTGTTTAATCTTCAAAATCATCACAGATTTTTCTTCCATGATTCGACTCGTCTGAAAATCTTAAATTTAGGCAATAAATGTTTAAAAGAAACTAAAATCCAAGCAAATGTTTTTAGATTCAGTGACGCAGATTTATTCGAGACAAAACTGATGACGAACCACAAACACGAACATCTACAATTTATCGTCTTTAAATTTACTCTCAGACCATAAACTCTAAACATAAACTTGTTTTAATTCCTCATAAACTTATTTCCAGCCCGTGGACATGAGCACAGACTGATTTACTCTCGTCTTGAGTCGATTATTTTAAAATAAATTGTCCAGTAAAATGATTTTGCTGCACAGACGCGTCATTTCAACACTTTGAACTCATTTTTCTGACAGATTTAAGTGTTTCGATGGAGTTTTTTTTGCAGCATAGTTACTAAACCCACTGATCTTTTACTGTTTTTACTTTATTTCTGTGTTTTGTTCTCGTCCTGTGAACCTCGTGGGTCAAATATCACAAACGTCTCAGTAAATGTGTGGAAGGTGGACGTGGTTTTGGGCCCAGTCGATCTGAAAGCTGCGAGAAGTTTGGCCAAAAAGTAAGAGGAGAGAAAATCAGTGCTCAGTGTTCACGGGCTGGAAATAAGTTTATGGAGACTCAACTTGAGCTGTTCATGGCCCGATAATAAATTATTTTCAACATTTATTGCCTAAATTTAAGATTTTCGGACGAGTTGAGTCACGGAAGAAAAATATGAGATGATTTTAAAGATGAAACACTGGAAGAAAAACAATATCTAGACAAGTTAAAATGAAGAACATGTGACTTTATTTGAGTCGATTCAAGTTTGTTTTTCTTGTTGTTTCTTATTTTAAATGAAAAAGTAGAGAGTTTTTTTCTTATTTTAAGTGCAGAAAGACGTGTTTTCATATTTTAAGTCTTGTTCCACTGCAGATTATTTTACTCGTCAAGTGAAATTTACTCAAATCATGATCAAACTTTCTTCATTTGAGTCTGAACTTGACTAGATTTAGTTTTGTTTTTTTCAGTGTAAAAACGATTCAGAACGAGTGAGTCGATCATAAACCTGAAAACCAGATGAAAAACCTGAGAGAAGTTTTCAATTCTCAGTCAGATCAGAGACTTTAGCCCTCGGTTTGTGCAGCTTTGACGTCTCGTCTCCCTCCTGTTTTTAAAAACCTCCGTGGAGTCTTTGTGAATCTGTGGGGGCGACAGGCTCGGGAGCGGCCCTGTCTCTGTGCTGACAGGAGCGGCCCTGTCTCTGTCTCTGTGCTGACAGGAGCGGCCCTGTCTCTGTCTCTGTGCTGACAGGAGCGGCCCTGTCTCTGTCTCTGTGCTGACAGGAGCGGCCCTGTCTCTGTCTCTGTGCTGACAGGAGCGGCCCTGTCTCTGTCTGTCGGTCAGTGACAGTGATGTGTTCCAGTCGTCCTCGGAGGTTGGATTTTGCGAATTCCGACTTCTCCATGACAACTGGAGTTTGAGTCAAGTGAAAGTGTCCAGACGTCCCCAGTTTTGAGTCTGTGTCTCTGTCCCTGCAGATTTATACAAAACCACTGATTTGTCCCAGTTTATACAAGAAATGTCTATTTTTGATCTGATCCTGCAACAATAAAGACACAGAAACTGACATTTGTTTGGGTAAAATACTGAAAATCTGCTTAAAAACGACCGAATGTGACGACTGACTCGTGTTCGTGGGCCAAGTGCAGAATTATTTTCCTTAATTACGAACTCGATTCACTTTTTAATTCTCACCAACCTCCACAAATCTGTCGAGGCTGGAAATATAAATCCCCAAATAATCCCCGAATCATCCTGGTCTGAGTTTCCGCGGCGCCAAAGTGAACAAAACCCAAACCCAAAACTCTGTCTCAGATGTTCCCTTCTGAAGAGTTAAACTGGAGTAACTCTGCGCGAGTCACTAACGACTGAACCCGACGCTCGTTTGGGCTTTTGGACTCGAGCGAGACTTGAGTCAAACGTTTCTGTGAAGGTTTTTGACGAAATCCGACCGTCGAGGAGAAAAGAACGAACGACCTTTCTCTGTGCTTCGTGTGAGGGTGGAGCAGGGGCAGGGGCAGGGGCAGGTGCAGGGTCACGGCAGGTGCAGGGTCACGCGGCAGGGTGCAGGGCGACAGGGGCGACAGGGGCGACAGGGGCGGGGTCAGGAGAAGGGCAGGTCCCAGCGCTGCGTGTAGGCGCTCAGCTCACACGGGCTGATCACCAACATCCGAGACGAGTCCAGACCGTCCAGCGCCATCTCCGAGTCCAGGCAGAACCGAGACGCCAGGTGCTCCAGGTGCGTCCCTGCCTTCTGCCACCGCTGCAGCTCACAGACCCAGAGAGCCACCACCCCTGTGTCAGATGCCCTCCCACACTCCACCCCCAGATGCCACAGATGCTGTGTCAGATGCCCTCCCGCGCTCCCACAGACCCCTGTGTCAGATGCCCTCCCCGCTCCCACAGACCCCTGTGTCAGATGCCCTCCCGCGCTCCTGATGACCCCTGTGTCAGATGCCCTCCCACACTCCTGATGACCCCTGTGTCAGATGCCCTCCCACGCTCCGCAGACCACTGTCAGATGCCCTCACAGACCCCTGTGTCAGATGCCCTCCCACGCTCCCGCAGACCCCTGTGTCAGATGCCCTCCCGCGCTCCTGATGACCCCTGTGTCAGATGCCCTCCCACACTCCTGATGACCCCTGTGTCAGATGCCCTCCCACACTCCTGATGACCCCTGTGTCAGATGCCCTCCCACAGACCCCTGTGTCAGATGCCCTCTCCTGCAGACCCCTGTGTCAGATGCCCTCCCACACTCCCGCAGACCCCTGTGTCAGATGCCCTCCCGCGCTCTGGACCAGTGTAAAGTTTTACATTTGTGCTGCGAGAAGAAGAAACATTCTAGAATCTCTCGAGTTTTAGACAGGTGAGACAGGTGAGGTGAGACAGGTGAGACAGGTGAGACAGGTGAGTGTCAGGTGCAGATGTGTGACCTGGTTGATGGTTCAGATCCCTGTGACTCCTGGAACCCCCCAAACATCGACACGACTCGACTCGTCGCTCAAATGAGGTCGGAGTCGTAATTTTTTAGCGTCTCCAGATTTTTATCACGAGAAACAGGAAATAAACATGAGGTGTCAAAATAAACTTCTTGTCCTTTCAAAATAAAGTTCATGTCCTTTCAAAATAAACTTCGCATCACATCAGGAGCTCGAGGAACAACTCGAGATGGACACGGAAAGTTTAGAGTTTAAACGTGAGAATACACAGAGTTTAGAGTTTAAACCTGGGCAAACGCAGAGTTTAAATGTGAGAATGTGCAGAGTTTAGAGTCTTATGTCATGAGAAATAATCTAAAGTGGAGCCGTTCTTCAGCTCTAGAGACGTGAATGTTTCAGCTGAAAAAACTTTAAACCTGAAGATAAATAATTTAAGAGTTTGTGGAGTTGATCCCAAACACAGAAGGAGAAGGAGAAACATCTGAGGAGCACAAGTTTGGAGAAAAAAACTCTAAATGTCCCTCAGAGTTTCCAGGTTCTCGACTCGTCTCTGTGTTATGTTCCCTCAGACTCGTGGTGTATTTCCGTGTGTCACCACAGGATGGCGCCTTCGCTCTTCCTCGCTCTTCCGGCTCGGACTCTGAGTTCTGTAAAATCTGCAGAATTCCAGGTTTTTGGCAGAGGAATTCCCGGAGCGCGACGTCGGCTCAGGGTGAAATGAACTTTTTAGATGTGAGATAATTAGGAGCCGGAGCAGCCGGAGCGTGAACGAGCAGATAATGGAAAATACGGAAAAGCATCGTTAAAAATAAATCATTAAGAGACAAAACACTGACGCTGGGAAAACACACACAAACACACACAAATACACACAAATACACACAAATACACACAAATACACACACAAAAACACACACAAATACACACACAAATACACACACAAATACACACAAATACACACACAAAAATACACACAAATACACACAGAGAGACGCACAAACTTACACACACACTGATGCACAGAAACACACAGAAACACACAGAAACACACAGAAACACATCCATCATCTCAAACTCTGGAGAAATAAAGTAAAGGTTTAGTCCTGGTTTAGACTGGATTAAAACAGAACTAAACCAGGACCAAACCAGGTCTAAACCAGAACTAAACCAGGACTAAAACAGGTCTAAAAACAGGACTTGGCCAGGATTGAACCCTGTCACTGGAGCGTCCATCGCGCCTCCTCCCAGACGCCGCTCAGTTCCTTTTTACTTCTCTGTGTTTAGAGTTTAAGAAAACAAAAGTTCCATCCTGCGGGACTTGCAGGCTGGAGCAGGACTGATTATCGTGTCCTGCTCAGACGTCTGCAGGAGACGACTGATCTAAACTCATCCTGGACAAGAATTCTGACGCTCTGAAACCGAACGGAAGAGGAGGAAGAAGTGTGGAGCATTTCTCTTCTGTTTTTCATCATTTTAAAGGTTGAATAGAGGATTTTCCAGAGACTGTTTGTCCTTTTTCAAATGTTGCTCCTGCGTGAAACCACCTCCTCCCTCCTCCTCCTTACGCCACAAACAGGTTTGTTTCTAGAAAACAAGTCCTGATCGCTGCACATGACTCGTAAACAACTAACTACAACTAACTACAGCGTTGGTTAGACAAGACGGAGAAGAGAGGAGCAGAGAAGTTTGCCCGGAGATTCCGTGCGAATGAAGCTACTACTACAACACGCAGCAGCAAGTGACTCTTTCTTTGCCTTGAAAATGACGTTTTCAGACACAGGATATCACATTGTGTCCTGAAAAACGTTTGTGTCGCTCTTGGAAATAAAGTGTAGGTTTTCATAATAAGCAGAAGTTTCCTGTCCAGGAGTAATTTGTGGACCAGTGGTTCAGTCTTTAGACTCTTCGTCTGCTTCAGTCGCTCCATCGCTGGAATGAATCTACAAGAATCACCTTAGTTTGTCTTCGCTGCTTTTCCCCTTGTCTTCTTCTTTCACCTCAAAAACAGACTTTCTTTTGCGGCGAACTGCTCCTGGATTCTTGTCGCCATCGCAACAAACTTTGTGCGAACTGCGAGGAAGATATAGGTCAAAAAAAGCCGCTAAGAACTGTTGCGTTGGTGGAGTAAACAGCGTCTGTGTCGTACGTAAACCACGTACCGGCGGCGCAGGCAAGTCAGTTACACTAGAAACGTAGGGAGTTTGATTGACAGCCTGTCAGCTCACAGATAACGAGGCAGTGTCGTTATCTACTGGCAAATGTTTACGTCCAGAGTTGATGTTTTTATTCTCTTTTTTTTGGTCATCATAATTACAAGGCGACTGCATCTATAATCTATCACTGACTATTTGAAACTAAAAAAATCCTCCATACAAACTTTAAGACACGAACAAACAACTACAGCCTCTTTAAACTGTTTAAACTGTTAAAACTGTTTAAACTGTTTAAACTGTTTAAACTGTTTAAACTGTTAACTGTTAAAAGCCCTGTTTTAAACTACGTTAGGTTAAAACTGTTTAAACTGTTAAAACTGTTAAAACTGTTAAGCCCGTTAACTGTTAAGCCCGTTAGCCCGTTACTAGCCCGTTAGCCCGTTAAACTAGCCCTAGCCCGTTAGTTAGCCCGTTAGCGTTAGTTAGCCCGTTAGCCCGTTAGCCCGTTAGCCCGTTAGCCCGTTAGCGTTAGCCCGTTAGCCGTTAGCCGTTAGCCTTAGCTCGTTAGCCCGTTAGCTCGTTAGCCCGTTAGCCCGTTAGCCCGTTAGCGGTTGACGGAGCCGCGGCCTCAGACTCTTGACAGAAACAGGCTGAGGCGTCGTGTCTGAGTCTGAGGCAGCGAGAAAAACATGAAACTCGACAGAAACATTATGTACAGGAGAAAAAGAAAAGAAAAGAAAAGAAAAGAGAGGGAGGAGAAAGAGAGAAACAAAACACGACACTTAGATTAAAACAGGAAAAGAGAGGGAGGAGAGGAGGGCTGGGATCATTCTGACGTTTACGATACGATACCTCGATACAGTGAACTCTGGGTTTGATACGATATATTTCAAATCGATTTGACACAGTTCAATAAAAAAAGCAGCAGGTCCAGACGAGCCCAGTCGAGTCAGTGATCAGTGCTCTGGTTATTATCCATATCCTGGTTATGGAAGTATTCGGGACACTACACTCATGTCATGTGACATGACCAGATGCAGTATCCCGCTTGATACTGATATGATGTATTTAATAAACCAGGAAAAATACTAAAGATCCACTGCACAGATCAAAGCAAACCAAACCCACTGCAATAAACTTTAACTTTACGACATATAAACATAACGACTCTAGAGCCACATCAGCTGTTTGACATTAGAATGTGTTTAATTCAGTTTTACACAAACTAAACTTTATTTACGTCGTCACTTTATTTACGTCGATCACTTTATTTACGTCGATCACTTTATTTACGTCGGATCACTTTATTTACGTCGGTCACTTTATTTACGTCGGTCACTTTATTTACGTCGGTCACTTTATTTACGTCGATCACTTTTTCACGTCGTCACTTTATTACGTCGATCACTTTATTTACGTCGATCACTCTTATTTACGTCTGTCACTTTATTTACGTCTGGCACTTTATTTACGTCGGTCACTTTATTTACGTCGGTCACTTTATTTACGTCGATCACTTTATTTACGTCGGTCACTTTATTTACGTCGGTCACTTTATTTACGTCGGTCACTTTATTTACGTCGGTCACTTTATTTACGTCGGTCACTTTATTTACGTCGGTCACTTTATTTACGTCGATCACTTTATTTACGTCGGTCACTTTATTTATGTCGATCACTTTATTTACGTCGATCACTTTATTTATGTCTGGCACTTTATTTACGTCGGTCACTTTATTTACGTCGGTCACTTTATTTACGTCGGTCACTTTATTTACGTCGGTCACTTTATTTACGTCGATCACTTTATTTACGTCGATCACTTTATTTATGTCTGTCACTTTATTTATGTCGATCACTTTATTTACGTCGATCACTTTATTTATGTCTGGCACTTTATTTACGTCGGTCACTTTATTTACGTCGGTCACTTTATTTACGTCGATCACTTTATTTATGTCGATCACTTTATTTACGTCGGTCACTTTATCACTATTACGTCGATCACTTTATTTACGTCGATCACTTTATTTACGTCGGTCACTTTATTTACGTCGGTCACTTTATTCACGTCGGTCACTTTATTTATGTCGATCACTTTATTTACGTCGGTCACTTTATTTTAAAAAAACAACCGCTCAGACCCGGGACACTCATGTTCACGTAAACAATCATCGACCCAAAATAAAAATCACACAAACTGAACTTTACAACACAAACGACACACAAACGACTCTGTGTTGTGTATCGATACATCGGCCCACGATATCGATTAAATTACACGATATATCGATATTTAGATATTTGTGCACAGGCCCAGAGGAAAAAGAGACGCAACCCGACACTTTAATTAAAACACACAGGAACAAACAGAGAGAAAGAGAAAGACACACAGTCTGACAGGTGCATTACATTATACAAGGAACGAGGGATGAGGAGGAGAGAGACACAACCTGACACTTACATTATAATATACAGGAAAAACAGAGAGAGGAGGAGAGGAAAGAGAGAAAGAAAGAGAGACATGTAATCTGACAGGTGCATTACATTATACAGGGAACGAGGGATGAGGAGAGAGAGAGAGAAGAGAGAGGAGAGAGAGGAGAGAGAGGAGAGAGGGATGAGGAGAGAGAGAGAAAGTATTGCAGTCTGACAGTTCCAGTGCGTTAGAGTGAAAGAGCGAGGGATGAGGAGAGGAGGAGAGGAGGAAAAGGAGGAAGGGAGGAGGAGGAAAAGAGGAGAGGAAGACAAAGCACATGTGAAGTTTGTCATTGAAGCGAGTGAACAGATGGAGGTGTAATGAGTTTCTCTGCCCCCCGTCTGTTTCTCTCTCTCCACCTCCATCCCTCCATCCCTCCATCCCTCCATCCCTCTCTCTCTCTCTCTCTCTCTTTCTCACCGTTCTCTCTCTCTCTCTCTTTCTTTCTTTCTTTCTCTCCCTTCAGCTACGAGTTTATAAAATCCGTGTTTGTGTCGAGACTCGAAAAAACAAACCTGCAGATAAATAAAGACCTGATTTAGTCCTGGTTTAGTCCTGGTTTAGTCCTGGTTTAGTCCTGGTTTAGACCTGGTTTAGTCCTGGTTTAGACCTGGTTTAGTCCTGGTTTAGTCCTGGTTTAGTTTAGTCCTGGTTTAGTCCTGGTTAGTCCTGGTTTAGTCCTGGTTTAGTCCTGTTTAGTCCTGTTTAGTCCTGGTTTAGTCCTGGTTTAGTCCTGGTTTTGATTTAGTCCTGGTTTAGTCCTGGTTTAGACCTGGTTTAGTCCTGGTTTAGTCCTGGTTTAGTTCCTGGTTAGTTCTTTTAGTCCTGGTTTAGTCCCTGGTTTAGTCCTGGACCTGGTTTAGTCCTGGTTTAGTCCTGGTTTAGTCCTGTTTAGTCCTGGTTTAGTTTTCTGGTTTCAGTCCTGGTTTAGTCCTGGTTTAGTCTGGTTAGTCCTGGTTTAGTCTGGTTTAGTTGGTTTAGTCCTGGTTTCAGTCCTGGTTTAGTCCTGGTTTAGTCCTGGTTTAGTCCTGGTTTAGTCCTGGTTTAGTCCTGGTTTAGTCCTGGTTTAGTTTCCTGGTTTACTGGTTTGACCTGGTTTAGTCCTGGTTTAGTCCTGGTTTTAGTCCTGGTTTAGACCTGGTTTAGTCCTGGTTTAGTTCTGGTTTAGTTCCTAGTCTGGTTTAGACCTGGTTTAGTCCTGGTTTAGTTTCTGGTTTAGTTTAACCTGGTTTAGTCCTGGTTTAGTCCTGGTTAGTTGGTTTTCTGGTTTAGTCCTGGTTTAGTCTGGTTTACCTGGTTTAGTCCTGGTTAGTCCTGGTTTAGTTCCTGGTTTAGTTTTAGTCCTGGTTTAGTCCCTGGTTTAGTCCTGGTTTAGTTCCTGGTTTAGTTCTGGTTTAGGTCCTGGTTTAGTCCTGGTTTAGACCTGGTTTAGTCCTGGTTAGTTCTGGTTTAGACCTGGTTTAGTCCTGGTTTAGTTTAGTCCTGGTTTAGTCCTGGTTTTAGTCCTGGTTTAGACCTGGTTTACCTGTTTAGTCCTGGTTTAGTCCTGGTTTAGTTCTGGTTTAGTCCTGTTTAGACCTTAGTCTGGTTTAGACCTGGTTTAGTCCTGGTTTTAGTCCTGGTTTAGACCCTGGTTTTAGTCCTGGTTTAGATCCTGGTTTAGTCCTGGTTGGTTTAGACCTGTTTAGACCTGGTTTTAGTTTCCTGGTTTAGTCCTGGTTTACCCTGGTTTAGTTTCCTGGTTTAGACCTGGTTTAGACCTGGTTTAGTCCTGGTTTAGTCCTGGTTTAGACCTGGTTTACCTGGTTTAGTCCTGGTTTAGTTTAGGTTCCTGGTTTAGTCCTGGTTTAGTCCTGGTTTAGTCCTGGTTCCTGGTTTAGTCCTGGTTAGTCCTGGTTTAGTTCCTGGTTTAGTTCTGGTTTAGTCCTGGTTTAGTCCTGGTTTAGACCTGGTTTAGTCCTGGTTTAGTCCTGGTTGTGTTTTTCTTCTTTAATTGAATAAAAAGTGGGGTTTGTTCTTTAGTCCTTCTGCTGCTGTTGTTGTGCCTTTGGGCCAAACACTCCGACGCTGCTGTTTTTACCTCAGAATCATTAACATTTAGATGAAGCTCACGGGAAAAAACACGTGTTTCTAAAAACGCCCCGAGAAACAAAGAACACTGGAGAGAAAGAGAAGAGGAGAGGAAAGAGAGAGAGAGAGAGAGAGAAAGAGAGGAGAGAGAGAGAGAGAAGGAAGAGGAGAGAAAGAGAGAAAGAGAGAGAGAGAGAAGAGAGAGAAGAGAGAGGAGAGAGAAGAGAGAGAGAGAGAGAGAGAGAGAGAGAGAAAGAGGAGAGGAGAGAGAGAGAGAGAGAGAGAGAGAAGGAGAGAGGAGAGATAGAGAGAGAGAGAGAGAGAGAGAGAGAGAGGAGAGAAGGAGAGAGAAGAGAGGAGAGGAGAGGCAGAGAAAGAGGAGAGGAGAGAGGAGAGAAGAGAGAGAGAGAGAGAGAGAGAGAGAGAGAGAGAGAGGAGAGAGAGAGAGAGAGAGAGAGAGAGGAGAGAGAGAGAGAGGAGGAGAGGAGAGAGGGAGAGAGAGGAGAGAGGAGAGGAGAGAGAGAGAGAGAGAGAGAGAGGAGAGAGGAGAGAGAGAGGAGAGAGAGAGGAGAGAGAGAGAGAGAGAGAGAGAGAGAAGAGAGAGAGAGAGAGAGAGAGAGGAGGAGAGAGGAGAGAGAGGAGGAGAGAGGAGAGAGGAGAGAGAGAGAGAGAGAGAGAGGAGAGAGAGAGAGGAGAGAGGAGAGGAGGAGAGAGGAGAGAGGAGGGGAGAGGAGAGAGGGAGAGAGGAGAGAGAGAGAGAGAGAGAGAGAGAGAGAGAGAGAGAGAGAGAGAGAGAGGAGAGAGGAGAGAGAGAGGGAGAGAGGAGAGAGGAGAGGAGAGAGGAGAGAGAGAGAGAGAGAGGAGAGGAGGAGAGAGAGAGGAGAGAGAGGAGAGAGGAGAGAGAGAGAGAGAGAGAGAGAGAGAGGAGAGAGGAGGAGGAGAAAGAGAGAAAGAGAGAGAGGAGAGAGAGAGAGGAGAGGAGAGAGGAGAGGAGAGAGGGATGAGGAGAGAGAGAGAGAGGAGAGAGAGGAGAGAGAGAGAGAGAGAGAGAGAGGGAGAGGAGAGAGGAGAGAGGAGAGAGGAGAGAGGATGAGAGAGAGAGAGAGAGGAGAGAGGAGAGAGAGAGAGAGGAGAGAGGGATGAAGGAGAGGAGAGAGAGAGAGAGGAGGAGAGGAGAGGAGAGAGGAGGAGAGAGGAGAGAGGGATGAAGGAGAGGAGAGAGGAGGAGTAGATTTCTCTCTGTTCGTTCGTTTTCCAGGTGTTTGGTGCACTTCCAGTCGGTTGTTCAGATTTTCTCGACTGTTGCGATAAAACAAATTTCCATCGAATGTTGAGAAGAACAAACTCAGATTTATCCACCGACGTTCAACAAAACTCAGAGTTTCATCCTGGATTTGTTCAAACATCTGGAGCTGCTGCTGCTCGTTTCTGCCTCCAGGTGGCGCAGTGACTCACTGGTGTTACACCCAAAAAAACCTGGACTGAGACGATTTTACTCACACACAAACTGCTCGTGTTCACCTGACAGGGACTGACAGGGGCTGACAGGGGCTGACAGGGACTGACAGGGGCTGACAGGGGCTGACAGGGACTGACAGGGGCTGACAGGGACCTACAACTTTCAAAAATGTCTGATTTTGTGGCGATTTTTACAGATTTTTAGATCCTAAAACATCTTTAAAAACGTTTTATAATGGTTCACTCTGCTCCTCTCGCTCTGATTGGCCAAAGTAATCACGTGATACACAGACCCGCGAAGACTCTACTGAGCATGCTCAGTGGGCCACACAGACACCAGGCTGAAGGAGAATCTGGAGACACGAAACTCTGAACTCGACGCGTTGTCTTGACTGGACGGACATTTTGAAAACCCGGGGCTCAGTTTACTCAAAATGGCCACGAAAACAAATCCAACATTTTTCAAAGTTGTAGGTCCCTGTCAGCCCCTGTCAGCCCCTGTCAGCCCCTGTCAGCCCCTGTCAGCCCCTGTCAGACGAACATGAACAGTTTGTGATCACACTGACTTTATGAGAAAAATCCTGTCTCAGTCCAGAGGATTTTTTTTTCCGTTGTAGTTTCAGTGAGAGTCACAACGACTGGAGACACAAACTTGGTGTGGTAAACAGGTACGGCCATGTTGGTGTGGTACGTCGGCCTGTTGGTGTGGTATGTTGGTGTGGTAGTGTGTGTGTGTGTGTGTGTGTTTGTCGTCGGCCAGTGTTGGTGTGTGTGTGTGTGTGTGTGTGTGTGTGTGTGTGTGTGTGTGTTTGTCGTCGGCCATGTTGGTGTGGTAGTGTTCTCACCTGTTTTCCGTCGGCCATGTTGCAGGGCAGGAGCAGCACCTGCGAGGCGGGGAACATGGTTGACAGGGACAGACAGTGTTGCTCCTGTCGGATCTGCTGACCCACAGTGTAAACCCAGTCCTGAAACACACAGACCCAGACCCGGATCAGACCCAGACCCGGACCCAGACCAGGACCAGGACCAGGACCGGACCGGGACCGAGGCCAGGATCAGACCGAGACCGGGATAATATTTCTAGTCTAGTTTTTAAACCTGATTTAGTTTTGGTTTAGTCCTGGTTTAGTCCTGGTTTAGTCCTGGTTGAGTCCTGGTTTAGTCCTGGTTGAGTTCTGCTCTAGACTCTGTTTTTCTGTGTAAACTCATAAAATGTTCATGAAGGAAGTCGCTCTGAATCCACATCAGCTCCTCTGGACTGAAACCTCAACAAGAACTAAACCAGGACTAAACCAGGACTAAACCAGGACTAAACCAGGACTAAACCAGGACTGGACTAAACCAGGTCTGAACCAGGACTAAACCAGGACTAAACCAGGAGGACTGACCAGGACTAAACCAGGACTAAACCAGGACTAAACCAGGACTAAACAGGACTAAACCAGGACTAAACCAGGACTAAACCAGGACTAAACCAGGACTAAACCACTAAACCAGGACTAAACCAGGACTAAACCAGGACTCTAAACCAGGACTAAACCAGGACTAAACCAGGAAACCAGGACTAAACCAGGAGGTCTGAACCAGGACTGAACCAGGACTAAACCTGGACTAAACCAGGACTAAACCAGGTCTAAACCAGGACTAAACCAGGACTAAACCAGGTCTAAACCCTTTTGTTGTTGTTGTTGTTTTTCTCCCACGCTTTCACTCCCACAATGCACCTCTGTCTCTCCTCCTCCCTCTATTCTCTCTCTCCACATCCTCCCTTCTTCTCTCCATCTCTCTTTCTTTTTTCTTTTGTCCCTCTCTCTCTCTTTTCTCTTCTCTTTCCTTATTCCCTCTCTTCCTCTCCTCCTCTCTTCCTCTCCTCCTCTCTTCCTCTCCTCCTCTCTTCTCTCTCCCTCCTCTTCTCTTCCTCTTTTCTCTCTGTCTGTTTTTTTCCTGACAGGCGTTGCTCATTAGCTCCTGTCTCCTTCGCTCCTGTTTCCTTCGCTCCTGTTTCCTCCGCTCGCCCACTAGATCCTCGCTTCCTCGGCTTTTCATTTCCTTCCCTCTCGTCTTCTATCCTCCTTCCTCGCTCCCTCGTTTCTTTTCCTTTTCCTCTCACTGTTTCCTTTCCTTGTCTCCTCTTCCTCTCCTCCCTCGTTTCCTTCCCCTCCTCCCTCATTAGGATGCACACTTTCTTCCCTTAAAACCATGGTTCCTTTCCTCGTCTCCTCCGTTCCTCCCTCCTTTCCTTTCCTTTCTTTTCCTTCCTCGTCTCCTTTTCCTCTCATTGTTTCCTTTCCTTGTCTCCTCTTCCTCTCCTCCTCGTTCCCTTGTTTCCTTTTCTCCCTCGTCTCCTTTGTTTATTTACATCCTTGTCTCCTTTCCTCCCTCATTAGGATGCACACTTCCACTTTCCCCTTGCTTCCTCCTCTTTGTCTCCCATCCTCCTTGCTTCCTCGTTTCCTTCTCTTGCTACCTCTCCTCTCCTCCTTGGCTTCTCTCCTTCCTTCTCTCCTTGTTTCCTTCCTATGTCTCCTTGCTGTCGTTTCTCCTCCTTGTCTCTTCATTTCCTTTTCTTGTCTTCCCTCCTCACTTGTCTCCTTTCCTCCCTTGTCTCCTTCCTTTCCACTTCGTCTCCTTGTCTCCTTTTTTAACTTCCTTGTCTCCTCTCCTTCCTTGTCTCCACTCTTCCTTGCTCGTCTCCTCTCCTCCTTTGTCTCCTCTCCTTCCTTGACTCCTCTTCTCCCTTGCCTCCTCTCTTCCTCCTTTGTCTTCTTTCCTTCCTCATCTTTTTTCCCTCCTCTTCTCCCTCGCCTCCTTTCCTCCTCTCCTCCCTCTTGTCCCTTGCCTCCTTTCCTCCCTTTCCTCCCTCGCCTCCTTTCCTCCCTCGTCTCCTTTCCTCCCTCTTGTCCCTCGTCTTCTCTCCTCCCTTTCCTCCCTGGTCTCCTCTCCTCCCTGGTCTCCTCTCCTCCCTGGTCTCCTCTCCTCCCTGGTCTCCTCTCCTCTCCTGGTCTCCCTCTCCTGCCTCTCCTCCCTGGTCTCCTTCCTCCCTGGTCTCCTCTCCTCCTTGGTCTCCTTTCCTCCCTGGTCTCCTTTCCTCCCTGGTCTCCTTTCCTCCCTGGTCTCCTCTCCTCCCTGGTCTCCTTTCCTCCCTGGTCTCCTTTCCTCCCTGGTCTCCTTTCCTCCCCGGTCTCCTTTCTCCTCTCCTCCCTGGTCTCCTTTCCTCCCTGGTCTCCTTTCCTCCCTGGTCTCCTTTCCTCCCTGGTCTCCTTTCCTCCCTGGTCTCCTTTCCTCCCTGGTCTCCTTTCCTCCCTGGTCTCCTTTCCTCCCTGGTCTCCTTTCCTCCCTGGTCTCCTTTCCTCCCTGGTCTCCTTTCCTCCCTGGTCTCCTTTCCTCCCTGGTCTCTTCCTCCCTGGTTCTCCTCCCTGGTCTCCTTTCCTCTCCTGGTCTCCTTTCCTCCCTGGTCTCCTTCTCCTCCCTGCGTCTCCTTTCCTCCCTGGTCTCTCCTCCCTGGTCTCCTCCTCCCTGGTCTCCTTTCCTCCCTGGTCTCCTTTCCTCCCTGGTCTCCTCTCCTCCTGGTCTCCTCTTCTCCTCCTCCCTGTCTCCTCTCCTCCCTGGTCTCCTGGTTCTTCCTCCCTGGTCTCCTTTCCTCCCTGGTCTCCTTCTCCTTTCCTCCCTGGTCTCCTTTCCTCCTCCGTTCTCCTTTCCTCCCTTGTCTCCTTTCCTCCCTGGTCTCCTTTCCTCCCTGGTCTCCTTTCCTCCCTGGTCTCCTTTCCTCCCTGGTCTCCTTTCCTCCCTGGTCTCCTTTCCTCCCTCGTCTCCTTTCCTCCCTGGTCTCCTTTCCTCCCTGGTCTCCTTTCCTCCCTGGTCTCCTTTCCTCCCTGTCTCCTTTCCTCCCTCGTCTCCTTTCCTCCCTGGTCTCCTTTCCTCCCTGGTCTCCTTTCCTCCCTGGTCTCCTTTCCTCCCTGGTCTCCTCTCCTCCCTGGTCTCCTTTCCTCCCTCGTCTCCTTTCCTCCCTCGTTAGGACGCACACTTCGCTCTCACACATTGAAATCGTTATCTGCTGCCTGTCGTTTTTTTTCCCGCCGCTACACGAGAACAAATTGGTCCCAGTATTGATTTTCTGAGAGAGAAAAGAGAGAGACAGAAAAGAGAGAGAGAGAGAGAGAGAGAGAGAGAGAGAGAGAGGAGAGAGAGAGGGAGAGAGGGAGGAGGGAGAGGAGGGAAGGATGAGGGAGAGAGAGAGAGAAGATGTAGGAGAGGAGGAGGGAGAAATGAAGAGAGAGAGAGTACAGAAAAAGAGATGGAGGGAGGATGAAGGGATGGAGGGATGGAGGGATGGAGGGATGGATGGAGAGATGGATAGATGGAGGGGGAGGATGGAGGGATGGATGGAGGGATGGAGGGGATGGAGGGATGGATGGAGATGGATGGAGGGATGGATGGATGGATGGATGGGATGGATGGATGGAGGGATGGATGGAGGATGGAGGAGGCGTCAGGGGAGTCGTGTCGTTCTTTTGTTTGAGTCGAATCTCGACGTGAAAATCACCGACTAATGGAACGAAAGAACAAACCAGACAGAAAAAGAGAGACGAACGACAAGAAGAACGAATACAAATACTACAAATACTACTACAAATACTACAAATACTACAAATACTACTACAGATACTACTACAAATACTACAAATACAAATACTACAATATACTACAAATACTACAAATACTACTACTACTACTACTACTAAATACTACTACAAATACTACAAACTACTACTACTACTAAAATACTACTACTAATACTACTACTACTACTACAAATACTACAAATACTACAAATACTACTACAAATACTAAAACTACAAACTACTACAAATACTACAAATACTACAAATACTACAAATACTACTAACTATACTACAAATACTACAAATATACTACAAATATAAAACTACTACAAATACTACTACAATACTACTAATACTACTACTAAATACTACAAATACTACTACTACTAAAATACTACAAAATACTACAAAACTACTACTACTACTACAAATACTACTAATACTACTATACTACTACTACAATACTACTACAAACTACTACTTACAAATACTACAAATACTACAAAACTACTACTACTATACTACAAAATACTACAAATACTACAAACTACTACTACTACAAATACTACAAATACAAATACTACTACTACTACTACATACTATACAAATACTACAATATACTACAAATACTACAAATACTAACAAATACTACAAATATACAAATACTACTACAAGATACTACTACAAATACTACTACTACAAATACTACAAATACTACAAATACTACTACAAATACTACAAATACTACTACAAATACTACTACAGATACTACAAATACTACTACTACAAATACTACTAATACTACTAATACTACAAATACTACTGATACTACAAATACTACAGATACTACAAATACTACAAATACTACTACTATTACTATTACTACTACTGCTACTACTACTACTGGTTTAGTCCTGGTTTAGTCCTGGTTTAGTCCTGGTTTAGTTCTGGTTTAGTCCTGGTTTAGTTCTGGTTTAGTCCTGGTTTAGTTCTGGTTTAGTTCTGGTTTAGTTCTGGTTTAGTTCTGGTTTAGTTCTGGTTTATGGTTTAGTCCTGGTTTAGTTCTGGTTTAGTTCTGGTTTAGTTCTGGTTTAGTTCTGGTTTAGTTCTGGTTTAGTCCTGGTTTAGTTCTGGTTTAGTTCTGGTTAGTCTGGTTTAGTTCTGGTTTAGTCCTGGTTTAGTCCTGGTTTAGTTCTGGTTTAGTTCTGGTTTAGTACCTGGTTTAGTTCTGGTTTAGTCCTGGTTTAGTTCTGGTTTAGTTCTGGTTTAGTCCTGGTTTAGTTCTGGTTTAGTCCTGGTTTAGTCCTGGTTTAGTCCTGGTTTAGTTCTGGTTTAGTCCTGGTTTAGTCCTGGTTTAGTTCTGGTTAGTTCTGGTTTGGTTTAGTCCTGGTTTAGTTCTGGTTTAAGTTCTGGTTTAGTCCTGGTTTAGTTCTGGTTTAGTTCTGGTTTAGTTCTGGTTTATTCTGGTTTAGTCCTGGTTTAGTTCTGGTTTAGTTCTGGTTTAGTCCTGGTTTAGTTCTGGTTTAGTCCTGGTTTAGTTCTGGTTTAGTCCTGGTTTAGTCCTGGTTTAGTTCTGGTTTAGTTCTGGTTTAGTTCTGGTTTAGTCCTGGTTTAGTCCTGGTTTAGTTCTGGTTTAGTCCTGGTTTAGATTCTTCTGTATTTTATTTATTTTATGAACGACTTGAATCATTTAACAGTTGAACTTGAATTTATTTTATGTTCAACAATATTATAAAAACATTTATAGAAACAGAATCTGATCATCATCAAATCAGAACTTTGAGTTTAACTCCAGGTTTTTCTGTATTTATTTATTTTATTTTTTTACTCATTAAATAAAAATGAGTTTCAGATGAATATTTGATCAGTTTTTACGTCGTGTTTTTGATCAGAGTCGAATCGATCCGAGTCTGTGAAGAATCTGACGACTTTTACATCTGTGGAATTAACTCCCTGTGGAAAAACTCTGGTTTTACTCATTAAAACAAGTCTGACAGACGAGCCACAGGAGCCACAGGAGCCACAAGCCACAGGAGTCAGACGAGCCACAGGAGTCAGACGAGCCACAGGAGCCACAGGAGTCAGAGGAGTCAGAGGAGCCACAGGAGTCAGAGGAGCCACAGGAGTCACAGGAGTCAGAGGAGTCACAGGAGTCAGAGGAGACAGGAGTCAGAGGCCACAGGAGTCAGAGGAGCCACAGGAGTCACAGAGAGTCAGAGGAGCCACAGGAGTCAGAGGAGTCACAGGAGTCACAGGAGTCAGAGGAGTCAGAGGAGTCAGAGGAGCCACAGGAGTCAGAGGAGTCACAGGAGTCAGAGGAGCCACAGGAGTCAGAGGAGCACAGGAGCCACAGGAGTCAGAGGAGCCACAGGAGTCACAGGAGTCAGAGGAGTCAGGAGCCACAGGAGTCAGAGGAGTCAGAGGAGTCACAGGAGTCAGAGGAGCCACAGGAGTCAGAGGAGCCACAGGAGCCACAGGAGTCAGAGGAGTCACAGCCACAGGAGAGCCGAGTCAGAGGAGTCAGAGGAGCCAGAGGAGTCAGAGGAGTCAGAGGAGCCACAGGAGTCAGAGGAGTCACAGGAGCCACAGGAGTCAGAGGAGTCAGAGGAGCCAGAGGAGTCAGTCAGGAGTCAGAGGAGTCAGAGGAGCCACAGGAGCCAGGAGCAGAGGAGCCAGAGGAGTCACAGGAGTCACAGGAGTCAGAGGAGCCACAGGAGCCACAGGAGCCAGAGGTCACAGGAGTCAGAGGAGCCACAGGACAGCCAGAGGAGTCAGAGGAGCCACAGGAGTCAGAGGAGCCACAGGAGTCAGAGGAGCCACAGAGTCAGAGGAGCCACAGGAGTCAGACGAGGCCACAGGAGCCACAGGAGTCAGAGGAGCCACAGGAGTCAGAGGAGCCACAGGAGTCAGACGAGCCACAGGAGTCAGAGGAGTCAGAGGAGCCACAGGAGTCACAGGAGCCACAGGAGTCAGAGGAGCCACAGGAGTCACAGGAGCCACAGGAGTCAGAGGAGTCAGAGGAGCCACAGGAGTCAGACGAGCCACAGGAGCCACAGGAGTCAGAGGAGCCACAGGAGTCAGAGGAGTCAGAGGAGCCACAGGAGTCAGAGAGCCACAGGAGCCACAGGAGTCAGAGGAGTCAGAGGAGCCACAGGAGTCAGAGGAGTCAGAGGAGCCACAGGAGTCAGACGAGCCACAGGAGCCACAGGAGTCAGAGGAGTCAGAGGAGTCACAGGAGTCAGAGGAGTCAGAGAGCCACAGGAGCCACAGGAGTCAGACGAGCCACAGGAGTCAGAGGAGCCACAGAGCCACAGGAGTCAGAGGAGTCAGAGGAGAGCACAGGAGTCAGAGGAGTCAGAGGAGCCACAGGAGTCAGACGAGCCACAGGAGCCACAGGAGTCAGGAGTCAGAGGAGCCACAGGAGTCAGAGGAGTCAGAGGAGCCACAGGAGTCAGACGAGCCACAGGAGCCACAGGAGTCAGAGGAGCCACAGGAGCCACAGGAGTCAGGAGTCAGAGGAGCCACAGGAGTCAGAGGAGTCAGAGGAGCCACAGGAGTCAGACGAGCCACAGGAGCCACAGGAGTCAGAGGAGCCACAGGAGTCAGAGGAGTCAGAGGAGCCACAGGAGTCAGACGAGCCACAGGAGCCACAGGAGTCAGAGGAGTCAGAGGAGTCACAGGAGTCAGAGGAGCCACAGGAGTCAGACGAGCCACAGGAGTCAGAGGAGTCAGAGGAGCCACAGGAGCCACAGGAGCCAGAGGAGCCAGAGGAGCCAGAGGAGTCATGTTTCAAACAGGAAGTGAGCGCGGCTGAGCTTGGCTCCCTGGACTCTGGCTCCAGTTCAGTTTCTATTGAAGGAGCTGGTGTCTTTTGTCTGTCACAGTTTAACACAGTTTCTGTTAGAAGAAGAAGTGACGCCTCCTGTGACCCAGACCAGACCCAGACCAGACCCAGACCAGACCCAGACCAGACCCCCAGACCCAGACCAGACCCAGACCCAGACCCAGACCCAGACCCAGACCCAGACCAGACAGACCAGACCCAGACCAGACAGACCAGACCAGACCCAGACCAGACCCCCAGACCCAGACCCAGACCAGACCCAGACCAGACCCAGACCCCCAGACCCAGACCCAGACCAGACCAGACCCAGACCCCCAGACCCAGACCAGACCCAGACCCAGACCCAGACCCAGACCAGACCAGACAGACCAGACCCAGACCCAGACCAGACCCAGACCAGACCCAGACAGACCAGACCCAGACCAGACCCAGACCAGACAGACCAGACCCAGACCCAGACCCAGACCAGACCCAGACCAGACCCAGACCAGACCCAGACCAGACCCAGACAGACCAGACCCAGACCCAGACCCAGACCCAGACCAGACCCAGACCAGACCAGACCCAGACCAGACCCAGACCAGACAGACCAGACCCAGACCCAGACCAGACCAGACCAGACCAGACCCAGACCAGACCCAGACCCAGACCCAGACCCAGACCCAGACCCAGACCCAGACCCAGACCAGACCAGACCCAGACCAGACCCAGACCAGACCCAGACCCAGACCCAGACCCAGACCAGACCCAGACAGACCAGACCCAGACCCAGACAGACCAGACCAGACCAGACCCAGACCCAGACCAGACCCAGACCAGACCCAGACCCAGACCCAGACCAGACCAGACAGACCAGACCCAGACCCAGACCCAGACCCAGACCCAGACCCAGACCAGACCCAGACCAGACCCAGACCCCAGACCCAGACCAGACCCAGACCCAGACCCAGACCAGACCAGACCAGACCCAGACCAGACCAGACCAGACCCAGACCAGATCCCCAGACCCAGACCCAGACCCAGACCAGACCCAGACCCAGACCAGACCTGAGTCGTGTCAGGATCTGAACCTCTGAACCTCTGAACCTTTCGTGCTGTTGAGGCCTGAAGGAGGTGAGTGTTTGGACTTGTTCTGACCCGACAGTAAAAACCCAAAGAGACGCCACAGAAACGATCCATAACTCATCAGAATGTGACACTTTCACTCAAACTCTGAATATATAAATATATAAATATATAATCGTATAAATAAATGTATAAACTCTTGTACAGAGTCTGTCAGCTGGTCTGTCTGATCTTTGTTCCAATGTTCCTGAGGACAGAACCGCCTCAGAACTCGACCCCGAGAACTCAGAGTCAAACTCTGAAACACGAGACTTTAAACTTTCAAAATTCAACTTTTACTCACATTTTCACCAAAGAAACAAACGGGAAATTTATACTCCACAAATCTGAGAGTTTTACAGAACAACAAAACACAACTGAGAGTTTAGTCTGGTTTAACTGGTTTAGACCTGGTTTAGTTTATGGTTTAGTCCTGGTTTAGTCCTGGTTTAGTCCTGGTTTAGACCTGGTTTAGTCCTGGTTTAGTCCTGTTTAGTTGGTTTAGTCCTGGTTTAGACCTGGTTTAGTCCTGGTTTAGTCCTGGTTTAGTCCTGGTTTAGTCCTGGTTAGACCTGGTTTAGTCCTGGTTTAGTCCTGGTTTAGTCCTGGTTTAGTCCTGGTTTAGTCCTGTTTACCTGTTTAGTCCTGGTTTAGTCCTGGTTTAGTCCTGGTTTAGTCCTGGTTTAGACCTGGTTTAGACCTGGTTTAGTCCTGGTTTAGTCCTGGTTTAGTTCCGGTTTGTTACCTGGTTGCCGGCGGCGACACCCTCTTTTGCACACGGCCCCAGAGTGAGCACAGGAAGCTCCGCCCCCTCCACGCGACGAGACTCGAGACAGTTGGACCTTTGACGAATCGGACCAGAGTCTGAGACCGAGTCCGACGGAACTCTGCCCAGAGAGGAGAGAGGACGGTTTGGTTTAGTTTGGTCCAGTTTAGTTCAGTTTGGTCCGGTTTGGTCCAGTTTGGTCCAGTTTGGTCCAGTTTGGTCCAGTTTGGTCCAGTTTGGTCCAGTTTGGTCCGGTTTTTGGTTCAGTTTGGTCCAGTTTGGTCCGGTTTGGTCCGGTTTCAGTTTGGTCCAGTTGGTTTGGTCCAGTTTGGTCCGGTTTGGTCCGGTTTGGTCCGGTTTGGTCCAGTTTGGTCCGGTTTGGTCCAGTTTGGTCCAGTTTGGTTTGGTCCAGTTTGGTCCAGTTTGGTCCGGTTTGGTCCAGTTTGGTCCAGTTTGGTCCAGTTTGGTCCAGTTTGGTCCAGTTTGGTTTGGTTTGGTCCAGTTTGGTCCGGTTTGGTTTGGTCCAGTTTGGTCCAGTTTGGTTCGAGTTTGGTCCGGTTTGGTCCGGTTTGGTCAGTTTGGTCCAGTTTGGTTCAGTTTGGTTTGGTTTGGTCCAGTTTGGTCCAGTTTGGTCCGGTTTGGTTTGGTTTATTTGTTCCTGTAGATACATTAGTTTTTCAGATTTCACGTTTCGCTCGTTCACAATAAAAAACATAAAAACATAAATAAAATGTTCTGGAGCTGATCGGTTTTGTTGTGAATCATTCTTTCTTCACACTGGGATAAAAATCAACATAAATATGAAACACATCAAATAAAAAACTGGATTTTCCACGAAACGAAACAAAAATCGATAAATAAAATAAACAGACACAGTTGATTCAACAGAACAACAACAGAACCAAAAGACTTGAAATGATTCAGTTCAGAGCAGAAAGAGAAAAGAAGAAGAAGAAGAAGAAGAAGAAGAAGTCTGTCACCTGCTCGTTTCTATGGAGACGTCTCTCCTCTGTCTGGAATGTTCCACAGTGTGACTTTAAACAGCTCCACTTTACTTTTATTCAGTCACAGGAGGATTTAGAGTCAAAAATACAGAGAAAAACAGATCAGAGTCGCCTCTCCACAGATCTGACCTGGAACTGTGTCTGCGTCAGTCTCCATGGAGACAGAAAGGTTTAAAGTCGTACTGTGGAACATTCCAGACAAATAAACCAAGATTAAACCAAGATTAAACCAGGACTGAACCAGAATCTGTGTGTAGTTTGTTCATTTGTTTTTCAATATAAAACAAAAAATAAGAAAATGAAAAAACATCAGTTTCAGAATCATTTTCTGTTTTTTCATTTTGGTTTTGGAGACAAATAATGAAGAAAATCGTTGTTTTTTCGTTTTCTTATTTTTGGTTTTATATTGAAAAACAAATAAACGAATGACACACGGATTCTGGTTTAGTCCTGGTTTAGTTCTGGTTTAGTCCTGGTTTAGTTTTCCTGGTTTAGTCCTGGTTTAGTCCTGGTTTAGTTTTCCTGGTTTAGTTCTGGTTTAGTCCTGGTTTAGTTCTGGTTTAGTCCTGGTTTAGTCCTGGTTTAGTCCTGGTTAGTCCTGGTTTAGTCCTGTTTAGTCCTGGTTTTAGTTTGGTTTAGTTTTCTGGTTTGTTTTAGTCCTGGTTTATTGCTTTCTTGTCTGGAATGTTCCACAGTACGACTTTAAACCTTTGGGTTTCTTATTTTTGGTTTTATTTTGAAAAAACGAATGAACGAACGACACACAGATTAACCAGGACTAAACCTCAAAAATCTTTATAAAAACAGACATTGTGACTGAGCCGAGTCGCCTCTCCACAGATCTGACCTGGTACTCGGTCTGGTTGCGTCTCCACGGAGATTAAAAGGTTTAAAGTCACACTGAGGAACATTTCAGACACACTGCTCCTTTAATTCTGATGATTCAAGTCTAAATCTGAAACAAAAACCTTCATCAAAAACAGAAGATGTGACTGTTCATAAACCGGAGCAAACGGACGGGTGTTCACCTGCCTCCCCCGCCCCGCCCCTGCCCCGCCCCCGCCCCCGCCCCGCCCCCCCCCTGCCCGCCCCTGCCCCGCCCCTGCCCCGCCCCCGCCCCTGCCCCTGACCTCTGACCTTCTGTCCGTCCTTCTACTCCGGGTGTGTGACTCGTTCCACCTGCTCAGAGTTAAAGTTTCGCTGTGTTTCGTGGAGGATTCCTGCGGCTCTGGGGAAATTGTCCATGTTGCGTTTTTCCTGCGGCGTTTGAGATTAAACTACATTTCCCATCATGCCCCACTGCTCATCACCTCTGAGCCTCACTGAGCGCGTGCAGATTTATCAGAAAATTACCCTCGTCTAATTCCTCAAATTA